TAAAGTTTTAATTAGTGAAAAATAAATTTCTGAAAGAGCATTCAGCTTAATTAAAAGTGGATATCCAAGCTATAGGTGTACTTGAAATGCCTTTTCGTTTTTCTCTTCATAGATCTTGTTTTTCTGGAAAAGGTTTTTATCTCAGTCAACTGAACTACTTTTCTCAACTCTGTCTTGCCAATCTTTGTGCATGCATGAAAGGCTCTAGGATGACTTCTGATGGCCTGGGACTCCTTGGGAAAACAGACAAGGTGCCACAGAGTCCATTTTGCGAGAAATCTCTGTTTCTCTCATGGAACCCCAAGAATTAGAGATGGATAAATCCCTACAAATATTGTTTTTGCCTTCAAGCTGTGCCTGTTTATTAGGCCCCAGAAACTACCCTATTCTTTTTATTTATTTATTTATTTATTTATTTATTTATTTATTTGAGGCAGAGTTTTGCTCTTGTTGCCCAGGCTGGAGTGCAATGGCATGATCTCAGCTCACTACAACCTCTACCTCCTGGGTCCAAGCAATTCTCCTGCCTCAGCCTCCTGAGTAGCTGGGATTACAGGCATGCACCAACATGCCCAGCTAATTTTTTGTATTTTTAGTAGAGATGAGGTTTCACCATGTTGGCCAGGCTTGTTTCCAACTTCTGACCTCAGGTGATCCACCTGCCTCGGCCTCCCAAAGTGCTGAGACTACAGATATGAGCCACAGTGCCAGGCCCCTAGCCTTATACTTAAATGGCTCCACCCTGAGCTGCTAGATCTTCTATCTGTCTGTGTAGTCATATATGTGTTATGTGTGAAATATCTATTAAAAAAAGAGCTCTGATTGATTGGCCTATAAGCACTTAGATAAAATTTATTTTATTTCTTTTTTTTCACAAGTAGAGTCTCTTAAGATAAAATTTATTTTAAAATAAACTGGCCAGGTGCAGTGGCTCATTCCTGTAATCCCAGCACTTTGGAGGGCCAAGGCAGGTGTATCACGAGGTCAGGAGATTGAGACCATCCTGGCCAACATGGTGAAATCCCATCACTACTAAAAATGCAAAAATCAGCTGGGCATGGTGGTGAATGCCTCTTAGTTCATGTGACTTTAATCTTTAAAAATAAAACAGTCTTAGGGGATTATTGCTAAAACTACAAACATATTCAAGATGTAAATATGTGGTCTAAATTGTGTTGGCCAGATACTAGGTTTGCTAAATGGTTTAAGATTGTAAACTGCTGCTTTGGCCTTTAAGAATTGTTCAAATTCTTCACAATGGGTAAGGTCTGGGAACATATGGAAGTAACCATGCCCCTAACTTATTCTGGAAGGAGTTAAACTTTATCTGCACATAATTAAAACAACTTAAGTTTTACATTAAAATTAAAAATTGTTAAGTGGTAGGGCAGGGCACGGTGGCTCATGCCTGTGGTCCCAGAGTTTTGGGAGTCCAAGGAGGGCGTATCACGAGGTCAGGAGTTTGATAACATCCTGGCTAACGTAGTGAAAACCCATGTCTACTAAAAATACACAAAATTAGCCGGGCGTGGTAGCATGTGCCTGTAGTCCCAGCAACTCAGAAGGCTGAGGCAGGAGAATTGCTTGAACCCAGGAGGTGGAGGTTGCAGTGAGCTGAGATCATGCCACTGCACTCCAGCCTGGGTGACAGCGCAATTCTGTCTGAAAAAAAAATTGCTAAGAGTTACCATTATGATATGTAATTCAAACTACTGAAATAATTACATGCAAGGTGTGTAACAACAGTAAAATGTGTTTTTCATAAAAAAATTATAAGAAGGCATGGAAATGTACATTTTGCCTAGGGATAGATTGTCTTAAAGTAGGTAAAATATAGCTGAAGGTCTAAGGAAATTGGGAGAAAATTGTAAGAATTAATCTTGCAAAGGAAACTCTGTGAACATATTGACTAAATTCAAAAAGGTTATTATATGGTTTCCCGTAAATTGAGCATTGAAATAAAAATAACTCTTTTTTTTTTTTTTTGAGATGGAGTTTTGCTCTTGTTACCCAGGCTGGAGTGCAATGGCGCCATCTCGGCTCACCACAACCTCCGTCTCCTGGGTTCAGGCAATTCTCCTGCCTCAGCCTCCTGAGTAGCTGGGATTACAGGCACGTGCCACCATGCCCAGCTAATTTTCTGCATTTTTAGTAGAGACGGGGTTTCACCATGTTGACCAGGATGGTCTTGATCTCTTGACCTCATGATCCACCCGCCTCGGCCTCCCAAAGTTCTGGGATTACAGGCTTGAGCCACCACGCCCGGCAGAAAAAATAACTCTTTATTTTCTTTTTGATGGAGTCTCACTCTGTTTCCAGGTTGGAGTGCAGTGGGGTGATCCTGGCCCACTGCAACCCCCACCTTCTGGGTTCAAGCAATTCTCCTGCCTCAGCCTCCTGAGTAGCTGGGACTACAGGCGTGCACCACCACGCCCAGCTTATTTTTGTATTTAGAGACAGGGTTTCATCATATTGGCCAGGATGGTCTCGATCTCTTGACCTTGTGATCCGCCCACCTCAGGCTCCAAAAGTGCTGCGATTACAGGCGTAAGCCACCATACCCAGCCACAAAGAATGCTTAATGCACTAATCTACTCTTTGGCAAAATTTGTAAAGGGTTATAAAAGGTTTGCAAAAATCTTACCTCATTGTCAAACTGATTAAGATTGGATAGATTTGTTGATAAGGTTCCATTAAAAATTGGTGTTAACATTAAGAGTTGACTAATGCAAGGGTGAAATCTGGCTTTCTCCCTCTTGAACATGATTTTCATGTCATAGTAAAGGCTAATGAAAGGTTTTTGCTTTTTCAGATTTTTGAGTCATCATTTTGGCAAAATAAACAACTTATAAGTAATCTGGAATTCTATTACATAACATCAAATATTTTAAACCTGTTAACATGTTTAACAGGTTTCCACAAATCTATTGTCTTTCCTGACACCTAGGTTTTGGATGCTACAGAAGGCCCTGGGGCATACAGAAGAGAGGTAAACAGGATTATTTGACATGTGTAGATGCATGGGATTGCCAAAATGATGTCTAATCTTCTTCAGGTTATATTTCAGTAAATATTATTCATATATGTTCCAAAATTGCATGGGATTTTGAAAATTCTATTGTCTAAGTATTTGCTATCAATCACAATTAAGGTTGTTGTGTTAAGTTATTGCAAACCACAGAGATAACAAAATTCTTCTGTCAATCATATTTTTGGCTAACCACTCTGGACATTTTGTCATTTACATACAATTGTTGTCTCTTCAAATATGGTTCATAATTAGCTATAGGACTTTAACAGTATTCCCAAATGCAGCTTTCTGATAACAGAAAAATATACAGGACTCATGAAAAGCTAAAATGTTTAAAAATATCAAGCAGAACAAGAGTTAACAGAATAGACTGAGCTAACAGAAAAACAGAAATAATCATTTTGACTTTTGCTTGGAACATTGCTGATCCTCGTTTTTTACAGAGTTAAGGAAACTTCTGTTGAGCTAGCTACAGCCTTTAACAATTGAATAAGGTTTACTCCTGTTAACAAAATTTGTAACATGTTTGTTTCCCTTTGCCTTATTGGTTCTTTAAGAACCACTGCAACATGGCCTTGGGAATTATACTTCAAGAAGCCTATAAGATTAAAGGATGTTTATACTCACAGTGATACAGGAATAGCACTGGGTGGTTGCAGGAGGATGGAAAAACTCAAACTACAACTAAAAACAAGAACTAGGCAAAGAAACCATAGGGTAACAGAATATCCAAAATGAGAGACAGAATGGCCAAAATCCCAGTCAGGATGACATGTCCGTGACTCTTCTGGGCAAACCCAAACAAGAGAGAAAGGGGGCGATAACCAGGTGGGTCCCTGAATTTCCCTCCTTTTCCCGAACACCTAATAATTATTCCACTCTCTAATTAAAGAAACACCCACAAAATAGGAATGCTGCGTGGTCACAGGAGAAGGGGGGAAACATCAAGCTCATAAATTAGCTACACCAACGAGAAGACTGGGCTGAAGAGACCTTAACAAACAGGACAGAGGCTAGGCTACTCCATGACGCTAGATTTGACCCATTTCCTACCCTAGACCTAATTATACACTCATTACTACATTAAATCACACACTCACCAGTGCCAGGCAGATTCAAGCATGCCCACATTTAGTATAAAAATGGCTGGCACCCCAATTCTGAGAAATTTCCACCTTTTCCTAGAAAACCTCATGATTATTCCACCTTCTAATCAGAAGAGCCCATAAAATTAGAAACCCAAACACCATCAGGCCAGACCCACTCTCCCGCGTTATGTCCGCACTTCTCTCTTCTCTTGGGAAAAGCACACTCTTCTCAAAAATGTGTACTTTCTTTCCCCAATAAAAGCTTCTTGCCTTTGGCTTCATTTTGACTCCTTCCTGAATTCTTTCTCGCTATGGTGTCAAGAAGCTGGACTCGGGAAGCGGGTGGGGTCTCACGGCCCGTTCCTGAGCCCTAGGAACACCGGTCCTCGCAGAGTGGCAGGCGTCCCGCAGAGGGAACCCCGTGAACCAGTCCCGGGAGTGGCTCCACGCAGGAAGCCGGGATCTAGATCGACTGCAGTCCCAGGGATGGTGCCTGTATTGGGGTCAGGGTGGAGGAGGACGCAATAACCAGGCGTAAGATTTTACTGGTACATGGGAATGTGACTGGGTCACTCAGAGGAGGCAAACAGGGGACCTCGTGGCAGGGCCCCCTTTATCAAACTCGTGCACCTGTGCATCTGGGCGAGTGCTCACAGCCTGCTTGTAGGAACGTTGAGGCATCCGAATAATAGGAAGTTTTAAAAATGTACACTCCAGTGTGTACACTTGCTCCCCTAAGACCATCTGAGATATACAGAATCATGGTGTGCAATAAAAAAAAGAGCCAATTCTGGCCCGTCGCGGGACAAGACTACATTTTCCAGAAGGCATTGGGGCCGCGCGTGCGCCGAATCAACGTCGGCACAGGAAAAGGCGCGGCAGGTGACCGCGACACAGGGGCGGGACTTCCGGCCTCGGTGTGGAGGCGTGTAGTGGGGCGCGTTGGTCCGCATCCCTAGAACTGTGCTGGCAAGGATGGTGAGGAGACGGGGGCTCACCTCCGCACCGATGTAGGACCTGATGGTGGAAGCCGTCCCACGCGGCCCCATCGTCCCATCGGTCGATGGCGGAGGGGAAGGAGGCAGCGCAGGTGAGCAGACCGGGCCGGCTTTCCCCTTGCCACTCGGCCTCAGCGTCCCAGGCCCAGGGAGCGGGAGGACGCGGTGCAGTCCCTACCACTGTCTGCGAAGTCTTGGAGGCCTAGAAGGGAATCGCGCGGGCCTGGGTCCGGAATCCAGGCCCTGGGTGGCGTGGGGAGCGTCCCCGTTAATGGGGTGCGGTGTTGGGGTGGAGGGTGTGAAATAGGGCTTTTAGGGCCCCGGACCCCCTCACAGGTGAGTGGAGCGACCGCGGTCCTTCTTGTGGCTTCCAGCGGTGTCCTTTTGGGCCTGCGACCTTGAACAAGTCCCGTTACTGTCCTCGTGCTTCATTTCTGCGCGCGGAAAGTAGATATATTTACTTTTTTCGCCCTGGGTTGAGGGAACTTGAACGACTCTCTGGATGATGTATGTTCGTCCCAGTGTACAGCCCGGTCTGGAGGCGTTGCTCAGGATGTTGTTTCCGGAGATGCTTCCTGGACCTGTGCTAGGTTGAGAGACTCAACCCCAGCAGGACTCTGATCCTCTGGCCCCCTGTCTCTAAAAAACGAAGGGCAGCGGCTGAAAGAGGTGGGAGGAGCGTTTTTGCAGTTGTTGCTATGCCTGGGGAGAAAAGGCCGGCTGAAGAATTTGTCTCTTAGTTTAGGGCAAGTGAGGCTGGGTTGCAACTAACAGTATATTTTCCCGTGTAAGACGTTTAGTTACAGGTGAAAAACCAGTCCATTAAAATGTTCAGTGGTGATGGCATGCAGAATGCAGTATCCCTTTGGATGTAACACATGAGGCCCAGGGTTAATCTCTAGTAGTCACCCTGATTACCTTCATGATAGCCCTGATAAGTCAGTTCCTGTCATAGTTGTTAATTTCTCATCTGACATCTCTCCCTCCCTCGCCTTATTTCTGAGTCTCTGTGGTGCCTGCTGTGTAAAGAGCCCTGGTCTCTTGCATCGTTTAAAGTTGACCAGAATCTCTTTTGTCTCCTTGCTCTGTTTTCCTGTCATCTGAATCTTTAAGGTCATCTGATAGTGCTTTACTCATTTATTTAGTTGCCTGTTCAGGATGGTTTTCCAACCCTGGAATGTGATTGCCTGTTGCTCCCCTCTCCCAAGACCCAAAACAGCCAGGCTTAAGTACATTTATTGTACTCAGTAAATGGCTGATGATTGAATAGGCCTCTCTTTCAGGGGCTCCCATCACATATCCAATAAATCCACCCCCTCTCTCCAGCATGGTCTGCAAGGCTCTGCTTGGTCTGCCCTTTTGACCACATCTTCTTCCCCCTATTCCATTCTCCTCTTGCTCATGTATTCATCCAGGGAGTCTTGAGCTTGCCAAGCTCTTTCCCAGTTTTCAGCCTTTGCCCTTGCACTTCCCTTTGGGACACTGTTCTCAGGTCTCTGCAGGGCTATCCCTCCACATCCATCCTGGCAGTGCTAGCTCTAGCTAAAGCATCCCTCACTCCCACCTGCTTGCTCTCTGGCAGCTTGGTGAGGTGTTTTTTACTAGTGCTCAAATGCTGCTTTTGGTTCTTAAATGTGAGGTTGTGCATGACTTCTAAAGCTCCCTGAGTCCTTGGTTGCTCATTGTGAAATGGAAATGATAACGACATTTACCTCTGGGCCTGTCAGATTAATAAAGCTGCCAAACACATGAAGCACTTACAATGTGCTAGGCACTCCACTGGTTGTCTAAGTGAACATTTTCTGTTTAGTTCTTAGAACTGCCTGCTGAGATGGGAATAATTATTGTGTTGATTTGGAAATTGAGCTTTAGGGAGATCATGTGACCTTGCCATGGTCACATAGCTGGCAAATGTGATTCAGGAGGCCTGATTTAAATCATGCCTTTATTTTCTTTACCACTGCTAATGAAGCCTTAGCCTGGAAAGTACACAGTAGAGGACCAGAGGACTCAGCTGCTGCTGTTGCTGTTATCATGGGCGTAATTAGTATGGGTCATTTTCCTCCATTCTTTTAATATGCCAGGGTACTTACTATCTGCTTCCTGCAGTCCTCGTGGGATTGCCATTGTTTGTGTCATCTTCACCGGCTTCCCCGTGAAAGGCTTTTCTCCTCTCAGGCACTAAAATATTATATCAAAAGGTGGTATCTGCCTCCACTCTGAGTCCTACACAGAAGTCAGCCCTAAAGAGATCTTGTTGATTCAGGCCTGGATCTCTCTGCACCTTGACTAAAGACTGATTGACAAGTTCTGAACCTATCTGACAACACAAGGCCAACAGCAGTACTTCTGTTTGACTTTCCAGATGTTGGTGACCTTCAAGGATGTGGCTGTGACCTTTACCCAGGAGGAGTGGAGACAGCTGGACCTGGCCCAGAGGACCCTGTACCAAGAGGTGATGCTGGAGACCTGTGGGCTCCTGGTTTCATTAGGTAATGGCTTGCCTCTCATCCTTGAAGAGGACGCTAACCTTCTTCTTGATTACTGGTCAGGCAAAAAGGTCACTGGAACTGTCTACCTTTCCCTTCACAGACCCTGCAGTTTTCTGGTCCCACCTCTTCCTGACTGGTCTCCCTTTGTTTGCATCAGGGATTGCTGGGGTAGGAAATGTCCTTTTAACAGAAGCCCTCACACCAGTGCTCAGCCCATTCTGAGGTCCTTATTCCAGATTCCACAAGAAAGGAAGCTGACTGGCCATCCTGGTGGGGTCAGCTGTGGCCACAGCCCTGTTAGCAGGGGCCATGGGTGATGGGCTATTCTCAGAGAAGGGGGCAAGTCAGGCAGCCCCCCAGAAGACATTTGTCCTCAGTGTCCCTTGGATATCTCCCTAAGCAATACAGTCTTCATAAAAAGGCATCTGTGTGACTGCATGATCATTAGTTGTTTTCTGATGCTGGACATCCATGCTCTATTGATCTAGGAGGTGTTTTTAGAGGGTGCACAGGAATGTCCTCAAACGGCATGGGTTGATACCCTGATAAAGTCATTCCTTTTACTTTCTCTGTCCAGCATGCTAATTGTCATAAAAAAAAAAAAGTCTCAGATCACCACTGAGTCTTTCATTTTCCTTTCACCCACCAGTGCAGTTCCTTCCTTTTTTCAAGAGAGGAGACAGCCTCCAGTTCAGCCCTGAGAAAGCGACACGGGCTTGCTGGGACTTAGTGGCATTTTTTTTATTTTGTTGTGTTGTGATTGCAGACTTCTATGTGTAGGAAGTGAAACTGACTTTCTCATTTACCAGAGCAAAACAGGGTTCCGTTTTAGAATACAAGATTTAAGAAAAAGTGGATCAGGATAAAGAAGTTATTAGACATGATGGCACACTCTGAGTTCAGTTGGGAAGGCAGACATCAATCCACAGATGACAACTGAAATGAGTTCTAGAAAGAAAAATGAGGGCAAACTAGGAATAAATAACCAGGGAGTCATAACCTTATGTAGGTGCTCCAAAGAGGGCATCTTAGGAAGGGATGGTGGAGCTAAGACCTGAAAGCTGAGTAGGAGTTAGCTGGATAGAAGGAAGTAAAGGAAAGGAAGGATGTTCCAGGTGGAGGAACCAGTGTGTGAAAAGTGACAGGGAGCTCAGCTATTGGCAGAGCCAAAGTATCATCTGATTCACCTTTCCCACAGCACTGTCCCAGAGCTCAAAGCCAGGCATGTAGCACACACTGGTGGACCTTATTGAGACATGTCTGAAGGAATCCTGAGCTATGGATCAGAATCTGCCAGTTGGTATTTCTGTAGGTCCTTGTACATCAGTCATTGGTCTTCTATACAGAATCCTCCTGTCTTTTACTCACCACATCTAGTGGAAAGCATTTGGCTGCATATAATGGAAAACCAGATCAAACTGGCTTCACCTGGAGGGAGATTCACTAACTCACCAAATGAGAATCCTGAGGTGTGGTTGGCTCCAGGGTTGTACTCTGCTGAAGCCCATGATGCCATCAAAGATGTCAGAGTTCCTTGTTCCTCCTCCTTGGTTCAGGCTTCTGTATTGTGTCCTCAGGCTTGCTCCTCACAGGGATGCTGGGTGCTGCAGCCTTGACTGGGGCAGCAGGCCCCCATAATCAATCCATCCTTCCACCCTGGAATAAATGCTGCTTTTCACAATGAGAATCCAGCTTTGGTCACTTGCCTAATGAAGACTCTTAGCCAATTTATTTCAACTGCTGGTTTTTCTTTTCCTTTTTAAATTTTTTTGAGACAGAGTCTTGTTCTGTCACTCAGGCTGGAGTGCAGTGGCATGATCTCAGCTCACTGCAACCTCTGCCTCCTAGGCTCAAGCAATCCTTCCACCTCCGCCCTTTGAGTAGCTAAGACCACAGTTGCACACCACCACGCCTGGCTAATTTTTTTGTATTTTTGGCAGAGACAGGGTTTCACCATGTTGGCCAGGCTGTTCTCAAACTCTCAGCCTCAAGTGATCCTCCTGCCTAGGCCTCCTAAAGTGCTATGATTACAGCAAGAGTCAACATGCCCAGGCTCAGCCAGTGGTTTTGAACCCCATCTGGGCACCAAAATCTTCTGTACATTTTAGAAGTACTGATGCCCAGGTCTCACACAAAGAAATTTTGTTTCATTTGGTGTGAGGTTGGAATCAGGCATCCCCAGGTGGTTCTGAAGCATGAGGTGTTTGAGAAGCAATGATTTACATTTGTCAGAAAATGCATTCTGGGGCTGGGTGCAGTGGCTCACACCTATAATCCCAGCACTTTGGGAGGCTGAGGCAGGAGGATCACTTGAGGCCAGGTGCTCGAGAGCAGCCTGACCAACATGGTGAAACCCAGTCTCTACTAAAAATACAAAAGTTAGTTGGGTGTGGTTTTACATGCCTGTAATCCCTGCTACTTGGGTGGCTGAGGCACGATATTCCCTTGAACCTGGGAGGCAGAGGTTGCAGTGAGCCAAGCACTGCACTCCAGCCTGGGCAACAGAGTGAGATTCTGTCTCAAAAACAAAACAAAATGAAAAACAAAAAAGAAAGGAAATGCTTTCTGGAGGAAGGGGCTCACCTTTGCAGTGTCCTATGGCTGTCAAAGTCGTGCGTGCCTTAACAATGTTGGCTTCTGTAGATGGAGGTCATGGGCAGTGGGTGTTGTGTAGACAACACTACCCTCTAAGGCAGTTGTAGCCCAATAATGGGATTTGTGCCTGTCTTGATCTACTTGGCTGCCATAATAAAATGTCATGGATTGGGTTGTTTAAACAACCAGAGGTTATTTTCTTACACTTCTGGAGGCTGGGAAGTCCAAGATCAAGGTGCTGGCAAGTTTGATTCCTATTGAGACCTCTCTTCCTGGCTTGCAGATGGCTGCCTTGCTGTGTTCTCCCATGGAGGAGAGATCTCTCTCCGTCTCTTCCTGTTCTTATTAAGGCTCCACTCTTATGAACTCCTTTAATCTTAATCACCTGTTAAAGATCCTGCCTGCATATACAGCCACATTGGGTGTTAGGGCTTCAACATATGACTTTTGCGGGGAACACAGTTCACTCAGAACAATGCCCTTGATTTTCAGGTCTCACATCAGCATTTTGCTTACTTTGGGAGCAGCTTCATTTATGTTCTGGCCCCTGTCATAAAGTCCTAGGGAGGATGGAGAGATTTCATTTTCTCATTAAATTACCCCTGTTCTATTTCTTTTGCTATCAACAGGGTATTGGGTTCCCAAACCAGAGTTGGTCCACCTGCTAGAGCATGGGCAGGAGCTGTGGACAGTGAAGAGAGGCCGTTCACATCCTACCTGTGTAGGTAAGCAGCCCCCAGCTGGTCCGGTAGTCACGGCAGTCTTCAGAGTGTGAGGACACCACTGCCTCTGAATTTCTGTGTGAAACTGCTCATTGTGGCCTCTCCGGGGACTGGTTGTTTCTGACTCACATTGGGGTATAGTGTACCTCATCAGGTGAGCACTGAGCCACAGTTATTCATTGACACAGGTACCTTCCACTGTAAACAGGAATCTTTATGGTTGTTCTGGCTCAATCCAGCTGGTAGAAGGTGAACAAGAAGGGGAGAAGTCATACCCAGTTGTACACATACTTTACAACCACATAGTTTTGACAAGAACTAGGCATTTGGCCACACCTGTATGCTCAGGACTGACAAATGTGATTTGGCTATGTGCTCAAGGAGAAGAGTTAGTGAGTTTGGTTTACATCACCTCAGGCTCCTCTACTCAAAAAAATCAGAGTGATATAATTTCTGTGTCATTGAGTTGTTAGAGGATGACACTGCTTAGTTCAGTTCCTGGTCCATAGGATGGCAAATGTCAGCTGTTGGTATTTTCCATGTATAGTTTTAATTATAATAAATAAAAGTAGTGAGACATTTAAGTGGAAATGTGGGATTGAGGGAATGGGTAGGGAGGTATTTGGAACACACAGGGTTGCAGATGGGGCTGGCTAAGAAGCACGAGAGGAGAGCCCACAATTCAGTGGTGATACCAATCCATGAGGCAGATGACTCCAGCTACACTTTTTGTATTTTTAATAGAGACGGGGTTTCTCCAGGTTGGTCAGGCTGGTCCTGAACTTCCGACCTCAGGTGATCTGCCCGCCTCGGCCTCCCAAAGTGCTGGGATTACAGGCGTGAGCAACAGCGCCTGGCCTTAAAAAAAGTAGTATCACACATTTCTTTCTGGACTCAGAGAAAGGGGACTTTCTTCCCTCTGATATTACTATCTGCATTATGCTATGAATCCCATTGTTTTTCCACCTTCTTTCTATCCACTCATCCATCCTCCAGTTTGACCCATCAGACACATAGAAGCAGCCCTTTGTCCCATATCTTCCTGTTCTTCTTGCCCTGAAAAACATCAAGGTGACATTTGGCCTTCTCTGCCCTACATCTGTGCTGAGTATAGCTGGAGCTGTCTGCCTCATGGATTGGTATCACCACTGAGTCATGGGCTCTCCTCTCAGGCTTCTCAGCCATCCCCATCTGCAACCCTGTGCATTCCAAATACCTCCCTACCCATTCCCTCAATACCACATTTCCACTTGTGTCTCAGAGGCACCTCTAGCTCCTGATGCCTAAAAAGACAGTCAGTTCAGAGAATGTCTTGCCATCTAAGCAGGTCAGAAAGCTGGAAATGCCACAGAGCTCCTGGATTCCTCCTAACTTCATCAAACCCAGCATCCATTCATCCACAGTCCTGCTTATTTTAAATGATCCGAATCTCCTGAGTCCATCACCTCCACCGCTTTCAATGGCTCCTTCACCAACATCCTAGTCCATGCTCTCACCTTTTGCCTGCACCATACCAGAGGCTGCTAATAAATCTCCCGACATCTGCCCCATGCTTCTGGGGAGCTCTTGTCCCTGCACCGGCTCTTGGAACCACTCAGATATGTTTCAGATTTTCACTGCTTCCCCAGCAGCTGATGTCTCAGTATTTAATTTACTTCATTTTAAAAACAGATTATTTATGTTCTTAAAGATTCATCTGCAATCTCATAGCTGGCTTTTCTTGTCCATTATGGAGATCTTACCTCTAGCCATGGCCAGTGTCTTTACCAGTGCTTGCATCATACCTGCTGTGTTCTCAGGGAACTTGATTTTTAACAAAATCTGTTTTGTCTGTGCCTTCAACTTCTCTATATTCAACATAAAAAGTGTGCTCAATACAAAAGCAGAAAGTCAATATAAGTTTAAACAACAAAAAAGTGTACTACTGCCTACACTTAGGGAAAACAGACAAAACATTTTTTCACCTACAATATCGTATAACTTATGCTGATCCCACTTATAAAACCAAGCTTCTTGGAGTTGTCTCATGTTTGGAAGAGATGTTTACACTTGACTTTAGTGTTTGTTTAAAATTTCCCAAATAAAAAAAAAAATCTTATGTGTACAATAATATGTACAAATCTGAAGAGCTCAGCTTTAATTTTTGCATTTCTACAAATTGAAGAATTCTTCATCTAGGTCAAGATTTACAATATTTCCAGCACCTTGGCAATTCCTATCACCCCGTCTTTGTCAATAGCTCCTCCTGCAGTGGTGGCCACTGTTTAAACTCTCTCCCTATGGATTAGTTTTTAATTGGTTGTGAATGGGCATAATTGGAGCCCCAAGGCATTTTCTCTTTGTGTGCTGCTTCTTTTCACCATCATTATGTCCATGAGCTGAGTTCATCCTGTATGCTGTGTACCATAACACTGTGTAAAAACATCAGGATCTATTTCTTCACTCTCCTATTGGTTGACATTTGTATTGTTTACATTGTTTGGAGATTATGAAAAATGCTGCTATGAATATTATTTTTCATAACATTTAGTGGATATAAACACTAAGTTCTGTTGCATATACACCCAGGAGACAACTGGTGGAGTCAAGAAAGATCTGTGCTCAGCTTTAAGTCAGACCCCCAAATATCTTTCCAGAGTAGCCATACCATTTCCTATCCCATCCCCACCAGCCAGGTATGAGACTGCTGCTCCACTCAGATCTTCTAAGCATGTGATATTGGCCACTTTATGAAGCACAGCTGCTAGTTTCCTCAGATCACAGCACTGAAGTTGTTCTTGTTTGTGTCACTGCCATTACCCTAATTGCCCAGTGCAGCAATGAGAATAATAATGAGGATAATGTCTCATTTAACCTCATAACAACCTGAGAAACTGAATCTCCTAGTCTCTTAGTTGAGGAATTTGAGACCTGGTAGAGAAAGTCATCCTGCAATATCAACCCACTTGACAGAGGCAGGATTTGAACTGAGGCTTTCTGTCTCTGGTACCCTCTTGTCCATCATGCACTGTGCCTCCTAACGCAGCAGAAACTTGTCAGATCTTACCATGCTTGGCCTTTTGTACCATTTGTTCCTGGGTGTCCTTCTATCCCTTTTGTGCTGCGTTCTTCATTCTCTTCCTCCAACTCTAATCACCCTTTTATGTTGGTTTCACCAGGCATCTTGTTCCCAAAGGGTGAATGTACCCATTTTTACTTCCTCACTTTCAACCCATTGCCCACTTCCTCTCTCTGGCAATGACTCTGGCTTCTCTTTTAGGACTCAGCTTATGGGATACCTCATCTAGAAAGCCTTCTATCATCTTTTTTTCCTTCCAGTCTTGGTAGGTGCCACTTGCCTAAACTCTCATAGCACCAAGGGGCTTCAGTTCTTTTTTTTTTTTTTTTTGTGAGACAGAGTTTCACTCTTGTTGCTTAGGCTGGAGTGCAATGGCACGATCTTGGCTTACTGCAACCTCCACCTCTTGGGTTCAAGCGATTCTCCTGCCTCAGCCTCCCAAGTAGCTGGGATTACAGGAATGCGCCACAACACCTGGCTAATTTTTGTATTTTTAGTAGAGACAGGGTTTCTCCATGTTGGTCAGTCTGGTCTCAAACTTCTGACCTCAGGTGATCCATCCGCCTCAGCCTCCCAAAGTGCTGGGATTAGAGGTGTGAGCCACCGTGCCTGGCCTTAATTTTGAACTTATGTGGGTACATAGGTGTACACATTTATGGGGTGCATATTTTCATACAGGCATACAATGCATAATAATCACATCAAGGTGAAGGAAGTATCCGTCACTTCAAACATTTATCCTTTCTTTGTGTTACATACAATCAAATTATATCCTTGGTTAAAGTATACGGTAAATTATTGTTGACTGTAGCCACCCTGTTGTGCTATCAAATACTAGGTCTTATTAATTCTTATTTTGGTACCCATTAACCATCCTCACTTCCTCTCTACTGCTTTTCCCAGTTTCAGGTAACCATCTTTCTACTCCCTGTCTCCATGAGTTCAATTGTTCTCATTTTTAGCCTCGACAAATGAGTGAGAAAATGCTATGTTTGTCTTTCTGTGCCTAGCTTGTTTCACTTAACATAATGATTTCTAGTTCCATCCATGTTGTTGCAAATGATAGGCTCTCCTTTTTTATGGCCAAATAGTACCCCATTGTGTATATACACCACATTTTCTTTATTCATTCGTTAATGGACGCTTAATTGTTTCCAAATCTTGGCCATTGTGCATAGTACTGCAATAAACATGTGAGTGCAGATATCTCTTTGATATACTGGTATTTTTTTCTTTTGAGTATCTATCTATATTGGGCTTGCCGGATCATATGGTGGCTCTATTTTTAGTTTTTTCAGGAACTTCCAAACTGTTCTCTATGGTAGTTAACTAATTTAAATTCCCACCAATAGCATATAAGGGTTCCCTTTTCTCCACATCCTTGCCACCATTGCCTGTCTTTTGGATAAAAGCCATTTTAACAGGGATGAGATGATATCTCATTGTAGTTTTGATTTGCATTTCTTTGATGATCAATTATGTTGAGCACTTTTTCATGTACTGGTTTGCCATTTGTACGTATTCTTTTGAGAAATGTCTATTCATATCTTTTGCACATTTTAAAATCAGATTCTTAGATTTTTTTTCCTATAGCATTGTTTATGCACCTTATATATTCTGGTTGTTAATCCCTTGTCAGATGGATGTAGTCTTCAACTCTTGAAGCAAATGCTCTTCAGACAATGTCATCAAAATTTATTATCTCTTCCTTACTCTGAACTGTGAAGAGGAATGTCTGTACTGTGAATCCTCACTGTGAATTCTCTGTCCCTTGGTCCAGACTGCCCTCCAGATTTTCCCTTTAAGTGTCAAAGATACAAGGACCATAAGAAGTATTTGGAAACTTGGGTTACAGGTGTAAAAATGCAGCAAGTATCACAGGCACTATTTGCATCTTTATTTTCCTACTGAAGTGGTTATTTTGTTTTTTCTATATTTTATCACTAAAAGTCCCCTCCTTTGTTTGTCCATGCCCTTCAGGTGACAAAGCACAAGTTCAGACCAGAGAGCCAACCACTTACCTACCAGTCTTATCTGAGCGGGCCTTTCTCCAGGGAAGCCTGACTCTGGAATGTTCAAGTGATTCAAGGTTGGGGAGATCTAGGGATCAGGAAGGGCTTTTGGAAATGCAGAAAGGTCGGGTGACACCAAAGACAGACCCCCACGTGGAGACCCATCTGGGGAAAGTGAGCCTTGAAGGTGAAGGTTTGGAGACAAATGATAGTCTACACTCCAGGGCATTACAAGAGTGGTTATCAGCAGATGTTCTCCATGAATGTGACTCACAGCAGCCAGGGAAAGACACCTTGATTCATGCAGGGACAAACCCCTACAAATGCAAACAGTGTGGGAAAGGTTTTAACAGGAAGTGGTATCTTGTTCGACATCAAAGGGTTCACACTGGAATGAAACCCTATGAATGCAATGCGTGTGGGAAAGCTTTTAGCCAGAGTTCAACTCTCATTCGGCACTACCTTATCCACACCGGGGAGAAACCATACAAGTGCCTTGAATGTGGGAAGGCCTTCAAACGCAGGTCATACCTCATGCAGCACCATCCAATCCACACTGGAGAGAAACCCTATGAGTGCAGTCAGTGTCGAAAGGCCTTTACCCACCGGTCTACTTTTATTCGCCATAATAGGACCCATACTGGAGAAAAACCCTTTGAGTGCAAAGAATGTGAGAAAGCTTTTAGCAATAGGGCTCACCTAATTCAACACTACATCATCCACACTGGAGAGAAGCCCTATGATTGCATGGAGTGTGGAAAGGCCTTCAGATGCAGCTCAGAACTCATGCAGCACCAGCGGATTCACACTGGGGAGAAGCCCTATGAATGCACCCAGTGTGGGAAAGCCTTTCACCGGAGCACGTACCTCATTCAGCACTCTGTCATCCACACTGGGGAAATGCCCTACAAGTGTATCCAGTGTGGGAAGGCCTTCAAACGCAGGTCACACCTTCTGCAGCACCAAAGGGTCCATACATGAGAGAACCCTACTGCAATGAATATAGCAAGGCCTTCACCGACTCTTCCTATTTTATCATTCATAATGGGACCCAAAATGGAGGAGGAAATCCTCCAAGTGCAAAGAATGTCAGGAAACTTCATTTTTTTTTTTTTTTTTTTTTTTTTGGGTCAGCTCTTTCTTAACTAACACATGAGCAGTTACTTTGGAGAGAAGCCCTGTGAATACAGTGAATGTTAAGGATCTCTTCAGCCACCACTCAGTTCTCACTCACTGCTGAAGGATCCGTACCAGAGAGAAATGTGGAAGGCATTCCATCAAAATCAGATAACTCATGCTGGAGAAAGACATTGCAAATATACCTATTAAGGACAGTCTTTGCCAGAGGAAAAATCTTACTGAGAATTCATAATGAAAAGTTACTACATAATTGTCACTGATGTGAGAAAACTTTCTGTGACTAGTTCATCACTTACTTGTCCTATAAAGAGCCATGCTGGAATTTGACCCACCTTGGGATTTATTCTATAAACTTATGAAAACCTTCAATACAGGTATCTTCTTGCTTTATATCCTTACAGACTTCCTTGTAAGATCAGTTTTCTTTTTCTTTTTTTTTTTTTGGTAAGGGAATGTTTGAGAGGCAAAGGGGTTTTGACCCCTTGTTTTTCATATACATTCATTGCTATCCTGTGTCAGAGCTGGACCGTGAGGGCAGCTCTTAAAACACTTCTTGGACGCTGCCTCTGATCCAGACATCTCTGGGAAGATATCTGTGAGGAGAGTAATTCTTTGTGAGAAATATGAAGGCTTGTGTCATGAGATTCTTGAATTTACAAGAAATTAGAATACTGAGAATGTCTTCATGTGACACTTCTACTTTGTATCTCAGGTGAGAAGAACCCATGTATGGATGGCCACATTAAAATGTGCACCACATAGACTGTTTAAGGCTTTTTTATTTATAAGCTCAATTATTATTAAGAGACAGGGACTTGCTCTGTCAACCAGGCTAGAGTGCAGTGGCATGATCATAGCTCTCTGTAACTTCGAATTCTTGGGCTCAAATGGTCCTCTTGTCTCGAGTTTCTGAGTAGCTTAGGCTACAGACATGCACTACTACACCTGGCTAATTTTTGTTATTTTAGTAGAGACAAGGTTTTACCATGTTGGCTAGGCTGGTCTGTAACTCCTAGCCTGAAGTGATCTGCCTGCCTTGGCCTCCCAAAGTGCTGGGATTACAGGTGTGAGTCACTGCACCTGGCCTTAGATTTTTTATATAGATGGGGTCTTGCTATGCTGCCCAGACTTTTCTCAAACTGCTAGACTCAAGTGATCATTCTGCCTCAGCCTCCGAAAGTGTTGGGATTGTAGGTGTGAGCCACCACACCCAGCCTAATATGGTTTCAAATGCTCAGCACTCTCACATTTTCCTGATTCCATTCTATTTGTTGTCTTTGTTTTCTCTGGCAACATAGTCACTTTGTATCTGCTTGGCCCTGTCAGGTGAGTCCTAATTCTTTCTGGTGTTTCTCAGGTTCTTTAATCCTATGTAGAGGGGTATTTTCAGGTCCCCCTCAGCATTTTTCTAGGGAATAATTAGAGCTAAAATAAGCAAAACAAAACACAGAGCTAAGATGAATCCATGGTAAACCCAGTAAACCCAAGAAAACAACATGGAGAGGAATCTTATTGTCTGATCTTGTAAATGTTTGTGTGAAGTTTTGCTACGAAATAAAATGCCTAGCATTTTAACAGATGAATCAGGATATATGCGTGGAGGTTTATGTGCATTTCATAGTTAAGCACCATGTCCCTTGGTGCTAGCATTGAATATGGCAATTTATTTTGTTTTGTTTTGTTTTGTTTTGTTTTGAGATGGAGTCTCATTCTGTCACCCAGGCTGGAGTGCAGTAGTGCGATCTTGGCTCACTGCAACCTCTGCTTCCCAACTTCAAGTGATTCTCCTGCCTCAGCCTCCCGAGAAGCTAGGATTACAGGCATGTACCACCACGCCTAGCTACTTTTTGTATTTTTAGTAGAGGCAGAGTTTTGCCCTGTTGCCCAGGCTGGTCTAGAACTCCTGACCTCAGGTCATCCACCTGCCTCAGCCTCCCAAAATGCTGGGATTACAGGTGTGAGCCACTGCACTCAACCTGAATATGGTAATTTGAAATTCCTTTTGTGAGATTTTCTTAGAGTCAGTTTTCAAGCTACATGAGAGAATCAGTGTTAGGTTAAAACATGTATTGTGTGAAAAAGAGAAAATTATCATTTTCTCATTTTGCACTTTCCTCACAGCCTTTAAAGCACTGCATATATAGTTCATGTTTTCATAGTAGGCATGTACCTTTTACTGTGGTGCTTTTGTGTATATTATATATTATAAATACAATTCTTGGTGAATTAAGATTTCTATGTTTTTGTTTTTCAGAACAGAGTGTACAGCTTCCTCTCTTTTGGAAAGGAGAGTTGACTCTTGAGGACCCCCACCCTCCTGCATCCTCTCTCTGGAAGGCTGCATGTATTGTAGCTGTGGCTGTACTTGTACCTAAGGCCCTGGGTTCAAGAGAGTTGGAGAGATCCCTCTAGAAACATATTGACTATCATCAAAGTGTTCTTTCCAGGCCTGAGGACCTGGGCCCCAGTTTGTCCCAAAGCAGGAGTGATGTTTTCCATGGGATAAAGGACACCCTAGGGTTTTTCTTAGCTTTCAGTTCTTTCCGTACAGTCTTAAGTGTTTGGTACATCGATCTACTGTAAACTTGCTTCTGTGACAGGCAGCAATCTCATGAGATACCCATCCTTCAGCACCATGGCCACTCACTGTTGTGGTCATACTTGGAAGAGTAGGGTACATGGATGGCTAGGCTATGGGTACTGCCCTTCAGCAGGGAAGGAACTTACTATTATAGGAAAAACACATGAGAACAGCTGCAACATATTAACCTAAAATTGTTTTAGCACCCATTTTTAAGTCAGTAAAAGTTTTGAACTTAATTCTGTATGCTTTCCACAAATGCTAAGTTTATGATTAAGCTAAAACATGTTTTCATGTTCACAATTGTTATTATAACTTCGTTACATTTAATGAGCAAATTATATAAAAGGCACCATGCTCTTATGGTGCTTAACCTGTGGGAAATGATTGTGGGGGTGGGATTAGTTATGACCATTCCCTCTTGGTGTACTTCAATTAGTAAATCTCACAGAGGAAATGTGGAAGGTGAATTAATTTAGCAAGTCGGTCACGCAAAGATGAATTCAAAAAAAATTTTTTTGAGACAGAGTCTCACTCTGTCGCATAGGCTGGAGTGTAATGGTGCAATCTTGGCTCACTGCAACCTCCACCTCCTAGGTTCAAGAAATTCTCCTGCCTCAGCCTCCCAAGTAACTGGAATTACGGGCACATGCCACCATGCCCAGCTGATTTTTTTGTATTTTAGTAGAGACAGGGTTTCACCATGTTGCCCAGGCTGGTCTTGAACTCCAGAGCTCAGGCAATCCACCCACCTCAGCCTCCTAAAGTGCTAGGATTACAGGCATGAGCCACCACGCCCAGCTGAATTAGAACTCTTAATGTCTGTAAACAAAAAAATGTGTCTGGAAGGATCCTCATCCAGTTATATGGTATTTGCTTCTTGGGTGTAGAGGGAGGGAAGGGATGGAGCAGAAGGAAGTGTCAGAGTGAACACTCACTTTAACTTCATGCACACGTGGAAATGTTTGAAATGTTCACAGTAAATTTTATAATTTCAGAAAAACCACTTAAGGTTGAAGAGAGAAATTTAAGAAATTGCTGATGGAATAAAAACATAATAGAACTAGAACAGTGAAGGAAATGAAGAAAGCAGGAAGTAAAGCACCAGAAGTAATTTGGAAGAGAAATTCTAAAATGAATATGAACAAGAGTAATCAGAAGAGTATAGGGAATTAATAGTTTATTTAAACAAGCCATCTCACAGTAGAAGCCTGTTTATCTTGAAATTGCTGTGGTTATTGTTCACTCTGGCCTTTGAAGAACTGCAGAAATTCACAGGGTGACGGTATTCATAGGTCATATGGCAATTCAGTATGTAACTGGAATTATGGTATAGATTACCCTTTCATCTCCCATAAGATGGACAAAAGTGTTTCTGTATCACTGTGTCCCAGACAATGTTTAGAATTACCCAGCTTTCCAGTTTTTCTTAATTATTTTAGAAGTTTAAAGTGATATGCAATAGAATATATATCTGGTATTTCTCAGATTAAAATATATTTGAACATTAATTCATCATTGCCTTTTGTTTTTCCTCTTCTGTCAGTGGTCTGCTCATATGTTGGCCTGTCTTTATTTGTATCCTAACTTTTTTTTTTTTGAGACGGAGTTTCGCTCTTCTTACCCAGGCTGGAGTGCAATGGCGCGATCTCGGCTCACCGCAACCTCCGCCTCCTGGGTTCAGGCAATTCTCCTGCCTCAGCCTCCTGAGTAGCTGGGATTACAGGCGCGCGCCACCATGCCCAGCTAATTTTTTGTAATTTTAGTAGAGACGGGGTTTCACTGTGTTGACCAGGATGGTCTCGATCTCTTGACCTCGTGATCCACCCGCCTCAGCCTCCCAAAGTGCTGGGATTACAGGCTTGAGCCACCGCGCCCGGCCTGGTGGAGTACTTTATTGATGTTAATAAGATTTTGAAGTATATTATATGGGCTTGTCCCTTGATACTACTGATATCGTATGCATCTTCTTCAGTCTTTTGTTAGTATCTAACTTTGGTTCTGAAGTTTATGGAAGTATTTAATTGGAAAGATATACTTATCAACTTTAATATTTTTGACTTTTTAGGATTCTTGAATACTCAGGCATAACTCACAAAATTATGCTACTGGCTTTAAAATTAGTTTTAGTTTTGCATTGATTCTTAGAGCATCTTAATCCTTAGGATTTTTAAAAAAATTATTATACTTTAAGTTCTGGGGTACATGTGCAGATCATGCAGGTTTGTTACATAGGTATACACATACCATGGTAGTTTGCTGCATCTATCTCCCCGTTATCTACATTAGGTGTTTCTTCTAATGTTATCCCTCCCCAATTCCCCTACCCCCTGAAGTGCAGGCTGGCATCATCTCAACAGTAGCCAGGTTGTAGACCCATTGCCTTGAAGCAATCCCTAGAACTTCACACCTGGGTCTCTATGACTTATTTGTTTCAAAATTAGCCCCTGGAATTTCTAAGCAAGCACATAATTAGATAAGCAGGCACTGTGCATAGCAGCAGCTGGCAGGAAATGAAGGGAAACAGAGAGTTTTAAAGTACCTTTCAAGGCTACATTCCAAGATTAGGAAGGAAAGGAAAGAAAAACTTTAAAATACATCTCAAGGCTGGGATACTCAGTTACAAACCTGCCCTTCAATCAGGGTTTCGAGTGAAAAATTTTTTTTTTTTTGAGATGGAGTCTAGCTCTATCGCCAGGCTGGAGTGCAGTGACCAATCGTGGATCACTGCAACTTCCGTTTTCCGGTTTCAAGCAATTCTCCTGCCTCAGCCTCCCAAGTAGCTGGGACTACAGGCATGCACCACCACCATACTGGGCTAATTTTTTTTTTTTTTTTTGTATTTTTAGTAGAGATGGGGTTTCACCATGTTGGCCAGGATGGTCTTAATCTCTTGATCTTGTGATCCGCCCGCCTTGGCCTCCCAAAGTGTTGGCATTACAGGCATGAGCCACCATGCCCGGCCTCTAGTGAGATTTCTTAAATGGAAGCAGCACACTTGGCCAGATGCAGTGGCTCACACCTGTAATTCCAGCAATTTGGAGGCCAAGGTGGGTGGTCAATAAAATTAAAATTTACAATAGCATAGGATGGAGAAAATAACTGGATATATGACTTGCAAGACATATGCAGGGAAAACGAAAACACTGCAGATAAAAATTTAATAAGAGGACTTCTGCCAAGATGGCCAAATAGCTCCAGTCCGTAGTTCCCAGCAAGAGCAATCCATAAGGCAAGTAATCTCTGCATTTCCAACAGAGGTACCAGGTTCATCTCATTGGGACTGGTTAGACAGTGGGTGTAGCCAAAAGGAGGGCAAGCCAAAGCAGGGTGGGGTGTTGCCTCACCCAGGAAGTGCAAGGGGCCGTAGAACTCCCTCTCCTGGCCAAGGGAAGCCATTAGGGACATTTCATGACACTGGCTCAGAGACTGCGCTATTCCCACAGCCTTCACAACCTGCAGACCAGGAGATTCCCTCTGGTGCCTATAATATCAGTGCCTGGGGTTTCTAGCACAAAACTGGGTGGCCATTTTAGCTGCAGCAGATTTTTTTTTTCATACCCCAGTAGTGCCTAGAATGCCAGTGAGACAAAATGGCTTATTCCCCTGAAACAGGGCTGAAGCCAGGGCATCAAGTGATCTGGCTCGGCGGGTCCCACTCCCACGAAGACCAGCAAGCTAAGATCCACTGGATTGAAATTCTCACAGCCAGCACAGCAGTTTCAGCTCGACCTGGGACATCTGAGCTCAGTGGGGGCAGGGGTGTCCACCATTGCTGAGGCTCCAGTAGGCGATTTTAACCTTGCCTGTGTAAACAGTCTCCAGGAAGTTTACACAGCTCAGCAAGGCCTCTGCAGGCAGACTATCAACTAGACTCCTTCTTGCTAGGCAGGGTATCTCTGAAAAAAGGTAATAGCCCATCAGGGACTTATAAAGCCCCCATCTTCCTGGGACAGAGCACCTGGGAAAAGCGGCAGTGTGGGTTCCGCTTCAGCAGACTTAAAACATCCCTGCCTGCCAGCTCTGAAGGGATCTCCCAGCACTGTACTTGAGCTCTGCTAAGGGACAGATTGCCTTCTCAACTGGCTCCCTGACCCTGGAGTATCCTGGCTGGGAGATACCTCATACAGGAGAGCTCTGGCTGACATAAGGCAGGTATCCT